AAACTAATGTCTGAAAGTCAAATGAAATGAGAAAAGATTGTCAATGAAATAGTTACTTTGCAAGACCATTAACAGAATATTCTCACGTACATAAGAGAGAGATAACCCATATAGAACAGAAAAAAATTGGACAAAATGATGTTTCTCATTTTCTTGTCTCTAATAACAATGATTGGTTCACCTGTAAAAAGCTGTTACAATTTCATATTTTGTTTCTGGACTGATCAAATACAACACAGAGAACACCAACTCAATCATAATTTATGGAAAATCTCTAAAAAAGATAGACAGTTGTACATACATTGGCAGAATCTTCGATGGACAAAGAGGATCTGATGAAGATGTAGGTGCACAGATTGGGAAAGCAAGGACAACATTCCCACACTTGAAGAACATATGGAATTCTAAACAACTGTCATACTATATCAAATTCAGATTCTTCAATACGATCGTCAAGATACTTCTACTATACTGAGATGAAAGTTGCAGAACTACCACAACCATCATCAGGATATTATAGACATTTATGAACAGTTGTGGAAAGTATTGTGGATGACATAGTTTGATTATGAATGTTTGTGTGTGGCCTATGCTTTTCCACGAGAGGCAACAGGCATAAGTAAATTTTGAACTGATATAATTATTACGGATGACCTTAAGGATGATCTATTATTGTCGTTATTGATGGGACAAAACCTGACCATGTAGGATCGAATTATCTGTTTTGAAACTAATGAGAACAGATGGTTGGTGTTTATCTTGAAGAAATATGTTTTATTATATATGTCGACAAAATCAGTAGAGAATAAAATGCCAGTAATAATAAATGGTTAAATGTAGTTAACAGAAAACTTTGTCAGTTATTTTTATATAAGTTGACATTGCTTATTTGGTTTACCTAGAAATCTGGGAGGAAACGCAGTTTCCTCACTGACTCAAACCTATATCATTTAGTGTTATATTTAGAGAAATTGTTATTAGGTTATCAGATCTTTGAATTCTTCCATGTACAACTGTTATTTCTCGATAAACTTGTTGCTATGATTAATTTGATGTTTGAGATTTTTTAGTCATTCAAATCTTCTACTAACCATTTCATACCTAGCACTGTTGATTATTTGTCCGTTTAATCAGTTGGTGTCTGCTGCATATTAGAGAGTAGTTTTCGCTTTGATCGATTGTGTTTATTCAAATCCCATTCACATATAAAAGATGAAAAACACGAATCAAATACATATTGAAGTTTGGAATAAAATCTTGAGTGACAACTACACTCTGATATGTAACATCCACACACTGATTAAACAAAAACTAATCGATTATGCTGGACAAAACACAGGCTTGTTGAACATTTCAAACTCGATGGATAATCTCAGCTATTTATTAATTTTAATGACGTATATTTTTAACATGGAAACTCTTTTCTTTGGGAGAGATATGAACCTACTTCACTTTGTAAGCAAAGATGGATAGTGGCTAGCGGTGGAAACCATGACGCGCGTTTCGTCATATTTAGGACTCGTCAGCTGGATGTACCTACATCTCAGAGTTGATGTTCACTCTGGGTTCGAAACCCAGTACCTTTCGCTTCTAACGCTGTCGCGTTATCCACTCAGCCACTGAGTCATGATAGCCACTTGCTTGTGCGACGGGGTGAAGTTTAAATTCATTTTAGTATTGTTTGTTCGAATCTTCGTATCGATGTGTTAGAACTGCAACTTTTGTTTATAGAGATGACATCGAATTAACTTTTTTGAGAACTTCACAATATTTTTAAGTCGCTTTGTGAAAACGGTTGAATAGATTAGAAATATTTTGTATAAATTAGTGTAATACGCCATTTGTAACAATCTGATCATATATGAACTTATATAGATATATAACCATTCAACCCTTGATATTAGATATTATAATCAATACTGTTAGGATAGTTCTGATTGTAAACTAATTTTTGTTTTATACACAAAGGAAGTTTTAAATTTTCATATAATTAGGGTTTCCATAGTTTTAAATACTGACCCTAGATAAGTTTTCCAATCTATTGTTAATAATAGTTACTTTTTCGATCTGTCATATGATTCGCGTTACAAATAGATGTTGATTATTAGAGGAAGGATAGGTGTTTATTTATTGTCTGTTTTAGTTAAATGATATGAATTTATTCGTTCAAGTATTTTGTAACTATCTTAACTTGGACAAAACGGTTATACATAGTTACTTATGAATGGTGTTTAATATTTTGACGAACCATGAACTTTTTTTTCAAGGGTGGTGTAAGTGACAGGGTAATGAGTTAAACGAATCATCGATTCCAGCTTCATTTTCAGGCAACGATATTTGATTCATCTCTTATTGGTAAGATGATTTCAAAAAAAAGCTTAATAATGTATGTTTTTTGAGAAACTGTTTGAGCAAAAGGTAGTCTGTTTTATCCATCACCGTTCAAAATGTCAGGAAATTAACGAATTAAGATTCAAAGTTAGTGCCGAAGTTAACTAATACACTATTGTATTGCTACGAGGAAGATGCTTGATGTCTGAAATGTATGCCACAACTAGGTAAATGTGACCATGTGGCACTTTTCTTCACATCGAAGTTAACTGCTAATGATATTATAATTACGCTTACAAGGACAAATATTTGGGTAGTAGATATTCCATTAATAATACACTTAGTGAAACTAATAGACTTGTTTGTAGCAAGAGATGTGTAGACTGATATGGTCCAGCTTATTTATCAGGGCAACTAAATACTATAGAAATAGTAAACAGTTTGTGAACAGTTTACTTTTCAAAGCACAAATAAAACTGGATTTAAGAACCGATAATCGAGAAACATCTGTATTGTTACTTCATGGAACTCCAACAGACGCTAAATTTATCAGAGTCCATAGAGTACCTAGAGAATATGTTATCACAAGTGAGTCGAAGGAGGGAAATATGGTATAATATGATAGAACTTCACAGAAACTAACCTATTTCAACACTGATGTAAACAACTTTAACATCACTGACGTTAAAAAAATATTCTACCATGAACTATACAGTAAAAAAGTTATTATTTACGATCGCAGATTAATGCATCCATCGCTGAAAATGTATCATTCTTTAACAGATTTTCATTCAGCAGTCACTATATTCTATCTTAGCTTCGTAATAAAAACAAAAATGGTATTGGCTAAATATTATTTTAAAACTAGTTTATATTTATAAATTATCTTGAAAAAAGAGAAATTTATTAATAATAGTTAATTTGTACTTCTCATCACCTCTTGTTACAGAGTAATGAGTGAATGTATATTAGTGAGAGCTCGTAAACACCCAATTATATCATAAGGGTTTTTATGTGGAGAATTAGTATTTTCATAGTTGGAAGCGTGAGTCAATGGAAGGTAGGCCACCGAGAACAAGCTGGAATCACTGGACGACCGTTTCGTACTATTGTGGGCCTCCTTAGCGGTGCGCAGGACGAAACGGCCGTCCAGTGTTTCTAGGTTTTCCCTGGTGGTCTAGCTTCAATTGACTCATGATTTCAACTATGAAAATACCCAATTATATGTTCATATCTGGAACATCAGTTTAGGGTACATGATAATCAGAAACTGTTATACAGAATATAGTTGAAGTGACCTATCACATACAATTCACAAGTCTACTATATGATTAGGCGGATTCTAGATAACCAATCAATCTATGCAAATATATCTCATTATTTATAATGATAAAATAATGTCTTAATTATTCATATTCATAATTTTTTTGTTGTTTGTTAAAAATCTCTTCTTTCATAATTTATCTTTGTAATTTGATGACTGAATGATAGATTCCCGACCATTGCTGCTACCTTGACGTGGTGGTCTGGCTTGCCTATCGTGATGAGCCAATCGAGCTATACTGTCTGGAACAATCGTTCCTCAAGGTCATTCCATGTCAGACAGGTCGGTTGAAGAGAGGTAAGACTAAAAGCAGAAAACCCAAGATCCGAAGGCGAAGTCGTACTGCTGACTGTACAGATGTGTGACGGCAGTAAGTTGTTTCCTTCAGAAAATCAGCATGACAGCGATGCCGCCTTCCCACAAGGAGAGGTGGGGTTAGAAAAGGTCGACCCTAAAAATGAACACCTCGCCTTATCCCTCGGATATTGGTCTCCGGCGGTAAGGTCCCAACAAGTACTGAGCTAACACAAAAATTACCCACAGAAAGGTCGTATGTAACCGACCTCAAGCAGTTGTCCCTTGGGCACTGTGATCACGCTCTCAGGTTACTAAGACCACTTCTAATCGAGTTTCAGGTACCTCGAGAAGAACCTTTCCACGGTGTGGGAAACCGGGAAGTGATAAACCGCCTCAAACATATAACAGCACTCAAGATCACTGACTAACTGATAAATCTAATAAACATTGAACATGTTCAATTCGATAGAATTGATCTTAGTTGTTTTTTTATTAAGCACTTCAATTTCGGATGCACATTTTGTTCAGAATTAGGTGAAATTTTTTTACAGATGAATTCATGGGTTCATTTAAACAAGACCAGTATGAAAAACCTGGAAGCACTGCACGGCCATTTCATTCTAGTATAGGACTCCTCAGCAGTGCGCATCCACTATCCTGCCTCAATAGATTCCAACCCAAGACCTATCAGTCTCGCACGCGAGCGCTTGACCACTAGACCACTGACTCGGCATACAACGATGTTAATGTCCAAAGTCAACCAATCCACGAGATTGAACAACCACCCACCATTGTCTTCAGTGAGTTGCTATCACACAACAGACCTGGTTGAACTCCACTGGTTACTGCTTCTCATTAGAACTCCAGGAAATACCTCATGAAGCCAGTTACTAGTAAGCATATGATTGATTCAATTGATTCATGAATTCAACTATAAAATTCCTTAAATCTCCACAAAACCCCTATTGAAATTTTTTCGTTTAACTTTATGATAAATTGTTCAACGTTCAATATACAATTATTAAAACGAAAACATGCAGTTTAATTTGGGAAAGATTTATATTTCAGCCAATACCGAATATATATATGCATATTGTGAAGAGATAAAATGTAATAAATAATGACTAAATATTACATTGATCTTTTTCAATCAGTTGACAGAATTTGTTTCAGTGTTTAAATAGTAAAATTTAAGCGGAATTTAAAAAAAATTAATACGCTAATTGATTGTTTTTTTGTTGTTGCATCGAATAATTGTAAAATCATCTATTGGTACACCAGGGATTGTGTTTAATATTAACACAATTTTATTGTTTTCAATCTTCATCATCTTCATTATCACTGTCAGAATTATCATCCTTATCGGATTCTTCTTTATTATCTTCAGTTTCCGATTCGCTTTCACACTCTGTTTCATCTGATACCTTTGTTTTACACTTTTTATTCTTTTTAGTAGAAATATCTAAACCATTCAATACTGTTCCATTAGTAATTGGTTGTTCAGTGCTTGTGCCTGTTTCATTTTCATTTTCAGTACCTATGTCAATAATGGAAACACTTTGTGTTTCATTGCTAGTAGACTCGGTTTCTGACTCAGTGACGTTGTTTGTCACCGTTTGTATCATGGTTTCCGAAGGTTCTGTTGTTGTGTCAGTGACACTTTTATTCATGTTAGTGTACACGTTGCAAAGGCTAAAAATTAATTTTGTCAAATTATTAGGATATCTAGCTGTTTCCGTGACTGTTATTGCTTCAATATCAACACTTTCTGAAGTTGACTCTACTCGAGATTCATCGGTACTACTTTCGTCATCGTTATGGATCAGTGTAGAAGGGGTAATATCTGAGTTAACAGTGCTTTCTGTTTGATTTTCTAAGTCTTCTGAAGTTGAACCAGTCGACTGTGTGTCCGTGTAAGTACCGAACACTTCACAAACGTCACCAACAGCTTCCATCAAACGAGGCAGTGTATCAGCGTCTTTAGGGGTTTCTGTGTGGTTATCAAGATTTTCTGAGGTTGAATCAGATATAACTGTTTCTGTATGAACAACATCTGTATGGTTTTCACCAATTGCCACAGTATAAGTGTTTTCTGTATGATTTTCTAAGCCCTCTGAAGTTACTTGAACAACACTATCGTTCTGAAGAGTAACAGTTTCTGTCGTCAGAGTGGTGAGTAAATCAGTGTTGTCAGTGCTATCTGATTCGTTGTCAGAAGTTTCTGCCGTAGATTCCGGAGGATTTGAGGTTAGGTTAACAACAGTTTCAATGTTAGCAACGCCAGCCACGGTTGTCGACTCCGAGGAATTCGAGCTAGAAGTTCCTTCTTTATGACTGTCTTCATTTGTGGTTGTAATCAGGCTTTCCTCACTTTCTGTAACAACGTCAGAAACAATTGACGACTTTACTTCTTGTACGGAATCAGTATTTTCGACGGGTGAAGTTCCTTCTGTAATACATTTTGAAAGAAAACGTTTGTTGAAATTATTCATCAGATTCAATCACATGTTTAATTTCAACATTTCTCAATGTTAACAATTGCAGCAAATATAACATTTAATACATTTTGGAATAAAACTCACATGTCATTTTCACTACTCAATTCTCTGACTCATTCACTCTGTCTTCATAGTCAGAAGGAAGTTACTACAAATACTCTGTCTATTAAATCATTCCAATCAATGACTCTCAATATCATTCACTGATTTCAGTATTGATGTGTTTAGAAACACAAGAGAGGGAATGACTAGTCGATTAGAGTGTTGATCACTCGTTTACTTGATCATGTGAAAAATGTAAGAACTGTTCTGAATATCGTCAATTTATCATTCTACTTTCTGAATAACTGAATTTTTGTTATTTTCTTTACAGTTCTAGACATAATTGACTGAATATTTTATAAAATATGAAAGTTTCGATAAAACTAGGCATTCGATATCATAGTATTCTTACTAGCTAGCATAATAATAATAACGATAATGAAACGCAGTGACGCTATATAAAGTACTAGTTTGTAACAATTCTTTTCAAAGAATAAGATTGAACTAACTAAGTCAACACTAATCGTCTTTTTATGATTTTAATTGAATGAACATCGAATTTTGTTGTGAAATATCATTTAGATAGTGATTTACAAATAAATGAATAGCAACTTCCTAACTAGATGATTTCTGACATTAAATAGGGATAATTTACTTGTAAAATCTCAGAAAATATCTTCTTTGAAAAAGCTTGGACCAGACTGCTAAGCGAAACATTGGGTTAGAAGCCTACCCAAAGTTTGTGCTGATGATGTCGTTCAGAAGGACGATGAAAGCTCCACCACCAAACCATCCATCTCAGACAACAAAACTCCATCAGAAAGAAAAGTTGGATTTTTTTACTTCAAATTCATACGCTGAGATTTTACATATATATTATTCCTATTTCATGTCTTACATCAACTTGGCGCTCATATACTGTGAAACTATTCGCTCTAATTTAGCTAAAAGTTCTTATAAATAATTTCTGTTATGATATAAACATTGAACATTGAATATTCAAAATTTAATTGTCATTTTTCAAGGATAATATAGAAATTTGTTGTCTAGGTTATTTTATATTATTACTGATATGTAGCGAAGATTTAGAATCTACAATATGTCACCAGATGATAAATATTAAAAGAAAAATGAGGAAGAGAATATTCTTGATAGAATCAGTTTAACAATCGTCCATTTAAAATAATCTTACCTATAGTCAATGCTTTTAATAAACCTGCATTCACATAAGTGAATAAGCATAGGACAGATAGCAATTTAATATTGATGACCATTGGAATGAATTTCTTCTAATATCTTAAATCAAATGAAAGAAATAGAATTAGATAAGTTGAATAATAGAAAAATAGTATTAAAGATAATGTTATATTAAATAAATGACATCATTTCAATAATACTGTAATGAACAAATCACTTATACATTAGTTTGATATGATTAGGTTAAATACAATATGCCTACGACTGACAGTCATCTTGTTAAATTGTTATACAGTGTCAATAATAGGGAGATTTATTTGAGAATCCCACATTTATTCTTGATTAATTATTCTAGTGAGTGTCTTTTGGAAGTCTTTAAATGGTAAACTTTATTCAAAAAAAAATTCACTTAACGTTCATCTTTGTTCAATAGATTCTTATGGAAATCGTCAAAGAACTATACACGTCTATCAAACATAATTGTTATTCAACAACATCAGTCACTTTCTTCTGTTAACTTTTAATGGAAACGAAATATCCCAAAATGACGATCGTCAATATGGTGATGTAACACATGAATACGCCTGAATACTATAAAAAGTATACTTATGTGCTCTTTTCATGATTTTAACTAAACTGAAGGTAATTCTCATATTACACTAATATTATTAAGACAATTGTTTGGTGTTAAAGCTAAGTAGAACAATTAGTACATAATTGAACTGACAGCCTAAAGGTTTAATAGCTAATTAAACTATTCTACGTATTTTGTACAGATTTGAGTAGATTCTATGGATATAACTGTTTGAAATGTAGATTTAGAAATGATCGAATAGCTTGGGAGGATATCATTTTATACAAGAAATTATGATATTTAAATTAGTGGCAAACTAATAGACTAGTAGAACAATTTATATAAAGTGTGGTTTTGAAAATACTAAATTAAGAAAAGTAAAACAATTTGCTAATACACGATAGCATCGAAATCCTTTTTAACAGTTATCTTAATCGAATATATTGATCAAAAAGATGGAATATACTTAGAACCTTGAATTTTACAAGATGTTTAGAATTCATACATAATATATAAACGGTTAAATGTGTTATTCTAAAATGATCTCTATGATTGAGATCATGCGATCATTTGAATCCATGGAATGAGGATATCAACTAGTGGTCTTGGCTACAAAACATTAACTGTTATTCTATTTGCATGTTAACATAAATTAATATTGAATCGAAGGTTCACATTTCTAGAGTATATAGATATATATTTGAACATCATTTAGAATAAATGTATTTTATGCGGTTTTCAACATTTTACTTCCGTTTCTACCATATGGAGTCGGTATATTATAGTGGAAGTAACGTTTGCATTTATTCTCTTCAAAGTTTGACTTATCATTTAACCATTGTGAAACTAGAATATAGTTGAGTGTCTGTAAATGAGTCAACAATAAGGAAATGATCATTTCAACTGATTCCTATGTGGAGTAGTCCTCGAGAGTCTCATAATATGTATTATAATACTATACACTGAAAATGCCAAATGAATATTCAACTTACCAATAAGATAATAAGTGCAATTTGAAATAATGAGCTAAACGAGGATGATCAAACGTTTATATTATGTTGCTACGGGCTACCATTGGTTACTTATCAACCAATCATAATAGCTGTAAATTGTTTCAGGTCCTTATACCAAATATAGTGCACGCAAGGTCACAATCATTTTTTTACTATACAACGGGGCTCATTGAGACTTTAGTTCAGTGTGAAATGAATCCAGCATTATTCATCATAATTATGGAATAGATAAACGAAATAGGTTGAAAATTAACTCTGTTTGTTCAACTACATTACAAAACCCTTAGCACAAATCAGATATTACTACAAACAGTTTTCTATTTGTTATAGATTTTAATTGTGTGACTTAAAAAAACAACAGATTTGACATAGGTCAGCACAACATTGATTACCTGTCATTTATGTTAAAAACCAGTAAAAAAAGGGTTTCAATCTGTTCTGCCCCTACTTTACCTCTATTGATTGAAATATTTATTATAGTGATTAATTGTATATAAAAAAACACATGAGTAAATAATGTGGCCAACTGTAGTAACAACGAAACTGAATTGCTTGATACTAGAAACTATTATCGTTTTCATAATGTAAATTAGAACATGGAAATTGGTACAGATGATGATTTCTTACTGACCCTTGAAAATATGTTTACATTTGTTGCCACAGTATATAACTGAAACTGGATACTGGAAACCATAAGTTTTATGATGCAAATATAAAGATGGAAACAATAGATGAGGATTTATTTGACGGTGAAATCAAAAATTGAAACCAATATTTGAATAAGTCATTAAATGAATTTACCCTGAAGACGTCTAGACACATTTGATGGACGAAACGTTGGAATTATTTTGAAATTTCAATAGCTGAGATTAATTCAAATACAATTTTTACGTATAATAACTACACAAATATTGCAGAATAATATATAACAACTTTCGTCTAAATTAGAGCGAATAGTTTCACAGTATTTGAGCGCCGAGTTGATGTAAGTCATTAAACAGGAAAAATATGTATTTGTGAAAAATCTCAGCGAATGAATTTGAAGTAAATCCAACGTTTCGCCTGACAATGTGGTCCAAACTTTTTCAAGGAATTCATTCGCTGAGATTTTTCACAAATACATATTTTTCCTATTTAATGACTTACATCAACTCGGCGCTCAAATACTGTGAAACTATTCGCTCTAATTTAGACGAAAGTTGTTATATATTATTCTGCAATATTTGAGTAGTTATTATACGTAAAAATTGTATTTGAATTAATCTCAGCTATTGAAATTTCAAAATAATTCCAACGTTTCGTCCATCAAATGTGTCTAGACGTCTTCAGGGTAAACTCATTTTTTATACTCGTTTTTTTGGCATAATTTACATTGATAAATAGTCAGATATTTACACATTAAACTATATTGTACTCCACAGTGACAAATCAATCATATGTTATGTCATAAAATCAACTATCCATTTAAAAAGAAGGAGGTATAATTAAAAATGATTAATTTTTCTTAAAATATAATTAGAGGTCAATCAATTCCACAGGTCAGTGATACTGTTATATCTAGAGCTTTAGATTTTTGCTATGCCGAGTACTACTAGACTACTTGAACGATCGAACCCGCGACGTCGCAAGAGAGAAGATAGAAGACTGGTAAGTAGGAATCTTATTCCCAAAACAGTGTCAAATATAGTACAAAAATCTCATGTATTTATAGTTTTTGGCTGAAAGGAAATCATCATTTCGAACAGCCAATTGGCACATAAGGGGTCCCTCTTATTCATCAAATAGGGAGGCTACACATCGACATTCTAGAATGTTCCCCTAGTAGTGATTGGATGGAAGGTCTTTGGCTCTTTCTGGGCTTCTTGAGGCTTACTTGAGTTCGCCAACGAGCCATCCTTACAGATAATTTAATTAAGTCTTTGATCAACAATATCATCAAAACGTATATAGATATTTTATAGTTGAATTCATGAGTCAATGAAATCTAGACAACCATCGAAAACCTGGAAGCACTGGATGGCCATTTCAATTTTTAATGATACATGACAGTCATTTTTTTCACTGAGAGTTAGAGATATTTATTACGAAGGGGGATCTGTGTAATTGTTGGAGAATAATTGAATGAATGGAATATTCTAAGTAGTTCTACTAAACCTCTATAAGTGCTGTTGAACAGATAAAAACATTTTATCATGAAAACTTGATACTAATGTGTTAGGTATGATTATTTTCTTTTTCCCATAATTACTTCAGCTTAGTACAGTAGAAATGAGTAAAGGTTGAAAATTAACAAGGTGATCCTATAATATCTGATCCCTTTTATTTAAAGGTTTTACAACTTGTTGTATCATAATCACTTGAGATTTATTAGTTTAAAAACTATTTCCTCTTATTTGTACTTTATTGTTTGTTCCATAGTTTATTTGAGGTCTTAATTTTAGTGAATGATGAATATAAATCTACATATATGAATATATTAACCATAGTTTTTCAATGATCATATTCATTCAGGCCATAATGTAGATTACGGAAAACTTCCATACAATAAGTCATGAATTCCAATAAAACATATTAAATTAGAACAGTAGATCCTGGGTTCGAATTTCGTGAGGCGGAATCGTGGATGCGCACTGCTGAGAAGTCCCAAGATAGGACGAAACGACCGTGCAGTGCTTCCAGGTTTTCCATGGTGGTCTAGATTCAATTGATTCATGATCTCAACTATATAAAATTTATAGTCATATTGTGTTTTTTTCATTTATCTCCACTTAATTCACTATTGAAAACATGGCACAAATATACATTATTTCAACTCTTGCTTAGTCATTTATTGTTTGAAAGTATCTTAAGAAATGCTTGAAAAACAATGTCACCAAGATATTATTATCATGAAATTTGAGATATAAAATTAAAAAAAGTGAATTATTTGGTCATTTTTGTGTTACTTCAATGAATGATACTTCAAAATAAAGATCTTAGTTATTCATTTTTAGTTTATTTGAACTACTAATACATAAGTTTGCACTATTTTATTGGCTTTATGTACGATATGTAAACTATTCCGGTGTTTACTGGTTCGAATGGAGCAAAATTGAATGTTTGGAAAAGATATTCTCTAACATTTTAAAAAACCAATATTGACCTAGATTAACTTCGTATTACTACATCAGATCAAACTTATGTTATGTAGAGCAATCAGTTTGTAGCCCCAAAATACCCTGGTACGGCTGAGAGTAGGGAGAGTCAGCTCTCCCTCTCCAAATCCTCTCACATGTCCACGCGTATATAGCCTCTAACAGGGGATTCCAATTCTCGTGGCATTACTGTTGTTTACGAAATCGAAAGGACAAAATGCGAATGTCCGGCGCTTTAACCGGGTTGGTGGATACGGAAGATCCACCTAGAGAAGTTGGAAAACCCTCATTCCAAACCAATGGTGCACATGGGCTCTAGTATCCTGAGGTAACAAGTGGCATATGCATCAATAGTTGGTCACCGACTACAATGGGACTGCATCTTCTCACGATGCTCCACTGCCTTGTTGATCAGAACTTTAGGTCAAAGGCTCCAGGTGTGGTCTTCTAAGAAAACCACCTGTTTCGATTTGGGCACCCGGACAGTATCACAGCTCTCACATAAATCAAATGAGATTTGTGTGACGCATATATATCTGGTGTCCTTTTGTACCAATATTTATGTGTTTAGATAAATGATAATAATTATGTATCCGTTTGAGATATGCGACCTTAATCGAATGGTTCATTGTTGGGTACTTTAATTAGTAGGCCATCATCTTGGATTTCCATTGATAAGATTCTTTTTTACCATTTCCCACAACCTAGACATGGGCGCTCTTTGAGATATAAAATCTATACACACTTATTAATTAAAACTTATCAACTTGCTGTTTCAGTGTGTAAGTTTTGAATACACTGGAACTTCGTAGTTAACTGACATTGGTTAGTCTAATGTGGATCAAATAATATATTTTACACTCTTTTACTTCAATTGTATTAACTATATGTTAGTTACAATGACCTGAAAATGTATCTAAATGGATCTGTTCATACTTTGTGTTAGGACAAAATAAACGTGAAATCATATGCTAATTTAGTGTGATATTTAATTAGTATATTGTTCATTTTACTCTTAACTCAGTGTGATATCCGTTCAGTTTTTTATTCATTTTATTTCACTCAGGTATTTAGTACGTAGTACATAGTAGCATAATATATTATGTATGCTTCTATTCGAGTTATTTAATATACAATTTTTGTAGAAGCTATTTCGATGATATAATAAGCAATTGAAGAGTTACTGTTTGCTAGAACTAGATAAAATGTAAGGTCATAGTTTATTTCATTATGATATTGAATCAATATAACATTGTATTTGTATTAATTGAATAGAATATCTGTTCAGTATAATATGTAGGATTATTGTTATATTGTGGCCCTTCATTTCGATGACAATTAGCCTGCACGATACTGTCTACGGGCTGACCACTTTAGTAACCTTTATATTTGACTCCAGTTGGATCGTATGAATGATTATCGAAATATATGTATTGACAATCCTCGTATATAATACTTGACTTAAATCGCGTTGATGAATAACGGAATTAAATGATTTCAATACGAGAATGGATTTTTGAATACATATATTTTGTATACTCAATGATCTGGACAGGAAATGAGAGGGATGAAGCGCATAGAAGGGAGGGAAGCGAGATGACGCCTGGTGAAGGCGTGAAGGCTCCATTGGTTCAAGCGTTAATCAATATTTATAGTCACACAAAATAAGCTACATACATGTGATGGGTAGGATAAGATGTATACACATATGCGCTCATACAGAAACAGTCAGGGTTGGTAAGTTAATAATTAACAAGGTCAGAACTTTACTCAAGAAGAATGGGTAAATTGACCTGTCAGAAACTAAAATAAGGTATATGGGCTTAAAGTAGTAACCGACACTACAATATAAATTGAACCGAAGAATTTACTTTTA